AGTCGTAAGGCACACCAGGTGTATCATAGCAACTTACTCAAACCCTACAAAGAGAGGGAAGCCATCGTGAACATGACTTTAAATGTTCCGGAAGAGGTTCCGGCAGAAATCCCTGAATTAGCTCCCGAATCGGACGAAGTCCCGATCGAGAAAAGAGTTGAGGATTTAGTATCAAAGTCACAACTTACAACGAAGCAGAAGCAGGAATTGCGTGGTCTTTTGACCGAGTTTCAGGACAGATTTGTAAGCGAGCCAGGCCGGACATCCGTCCTCACTCATGACATAGAGCTTACCTCGTCGGAACCGGTAAGATCTAAGACGTATCGGGTGTCTCCTCGCCGGCTTGAGCTAATAAAAGCAGAGGTTAACAGGATGCTGGAATTGGGTGTGATTGAGCCGTGTGAAAGTGATTACACTTCCCCGTTAATTCTCGTGGAGGTACCCGGCAAAGATCCGCGTCCTTGCGTAGACTATCGTAAGTTAAACCTCATCACCAAGGATCAGACATACCCAATTCCCCACATTGAGGAACGCGTCGAGAGGGTAAGCAGCGCGCAATTTATCTCAACGCTAGACCTAGTGAGAGGTTACTGGCAGGTGCCGCTTACCGAGAGGGCGAGCCGGTATGCTGCATTTATTTCACCATTGGGGACATTCCGCCCTAAAGTGTTGAGTTTCGGCCTAAAGAACGCGCCTTACTGTTTTTCCAACTTAATGGATAAGGTTTTGCGTGGTCAAGAGGACTTCGCATTGCCTTACTTGGACGACGTCGCCGTGTTTTCCTCGTCCTGGCCAGAGCACTTGACGCATTTGAGAGCAGTACTGACACGCCTACGCGAAGCAGGTTTAACGGTAAAGGCGCCCAAGTGTCAGCTAGCACAAGCAGAGGTACTCTATCTCGGGCATGTTATCGGTCGAGGGCATCGCCGTCCCTCTGAAATGAAAGTGGCAGCTATCCGAGACTTTCCCCAGCCCCGAACGAAAACCGATATTCGGGCTTTTCTTGGAATAGCTGGTTACTATCGTAAGTACATCCCTAGATATTCCGACATTGCCAGCACTCTTACTGACGCGTTGCGCAAGACCGAGCCCAAATGGTCGACTGGGATGAGGAGAAAGAAAAGGCTTTCCGCGTTTTGAAAGCGGCCTTGTCGAGCCAACCTTTGCTTAGTTCACCGGACTACTCGAGGCCTTTCATAGTCCAATGCGACGCTAGTGATAGAGGCATGGGGGCAGTTCTTAGTCAAAGGGATGAGGGGGATCAAGAGCATCCCGTCCTATATGTTAGCCGGAAACTCACCCTTCGCGAGCAGGTTTACAGCGCTAGCGAAAAGGAATGTGCGTGCTTGGTTTGGGCAGTCCAGAAACTGGCTTGTTATATTGCCGGAAGCAAGTTCATTGTGGATGTGGACCACTGTCCTCTCACCTGGCTACAGACCATGTCCTCTAAGAACGGCCGCCTGCTGCGTTGGAGCCTCGTTTTGCAACAATATACGTTTGAAATACGCTACAAAAGGGGTGTACTCCATGGCAACGCTGATGGCTTAAGTCGATGCCCCTGACGCGAGAGGATGTCTCGAGAACTCTGGCATTTTTTTTCCTGACCTAGACAAGAGCTAGTGATTGTTTTTTTTACTCTTTTAGGTGTACTTGTTTGAAAACGTTGAAGACACGGCTATCCAGGGTTTCGGGTTTGGTGTGCTTCCAGTGTTGTTGTTTTGTGTCACCTTAAAGTGTGAGTAACATTTTGAATAAATTGTGTATTTCCTTTAATATCATTTAAAGGGAAAAATTGCCTGGTGGAGTTTGGCGGAATTGTCCGGCGCTCACCGGCTGAGTAGTTGTGTTTTCATGTGCGTATGTGACGTCTGTTGAGCCCTCAATGAAGCAGGTGTTGCCCTCTACTTCATCAAAGACGGTCGTCACCAAACCGACTGCCGGCGCTGATCTCTCCGGACAGTGGCTGCAAACCTCAGCCCATCGAGATCTTCACCCCCCCGCGCGAGAGACTGTTACGACCGGCCCTGGGGAGCCAAGCAGGGAGAGTTTGGGGGAGAACCGGTTCTTGACCTGACGGTGTCGTCCACCCCCACCTCCCCATTCGGGTTCCTCCTCGCCGGGAGAGCTACGGGGTCTGCTGTGCGTTCGTGACCATATTTAATAATATTTTGGGGCGCCGGGACCATATATGGTGTTGGGTTGTGCCACTCCTTGTGTTGTGAGAGGTGTTTTCCCCTCCATCGTGGCCGAGGTGCCGGCGACACTGTATTGGCTGACGATGCGGACAAGGCGCCCAGTGTCAACAACGTGGCGCTATAAAATGCCGAAGACGTTTTGTATCACGCACTCTTCTCTCTTTGGGTCAGTTGACCACTTCTCCACATGTAAATAAATCTCTGTTGTTCGTTCGGGCGCCTCTTTCTCGCTGAATTGTTGGACGATGGATCCTGCGACGGGGCCAGCTACCGAAAACGAGACCGGCAGGACCCGGAGTCCCAACACTGTTATCTCTAGCGTGACATCCTGTATCCTAAGCTTACAACCTTCGTTATCACTAAAAATAATGACTGCTGATTTTTGCTATTGAACCTGAAATCTAACCTATCTACCTAATTAGTGCAGATGTCCATCGATCTCTGCAAATGTTCGATGTTGTCGGCCATTAGCACTGTATGATCTGCGTACATCAATGCTGGTACTGCCTGTTGAATGAGTTTTCCTTGTTTGACGAAAGAGAGGTTGAAGCCAAGTCCGCTCCCCTCTAATTTGGACTCTAATCCTTGTAGGTACGTCATGAATAACAAGGGTGACAGAGGACACACCTGTCTAAGCCCCCGTTTTACCTCTGTTGGCCTGGATACCTGTTTTTACGACTTTATAACTACCTTGTTACTTTTATAGGTATCCTTTAAAAGATCAGTGATTCCATCTTCCACACCTAGTGTGTCCAGTATTCCCCACAAGTCCTCTTGAATCACGCTATCGTACCCTCCCTTGATATCCAAAAATGTCAGCCACAGGGGCCTGTGTTCCTTTTCTGCTGTTTCGATGCACTGCGCCAGTGAGAACAGATTGTCTTCCAACCTCCTGTGTTTCCAAAACCCATTCTGCAGTTTCCCCAGCACCCCTTCATCCTCTATCCATGCCTGTAGTCTTTCTTTTATAATCTGCATCGCCAGCCTGTAGACCACTGACGTCACTGTTAAAGGACGGTAGTTGTTTATATCAGCTTTGTCCCCTTTTCCTTTACAGATCATGCTCATCCAGTTAAATTTTCACTCATCGGGGACTTCACCATCGATTATTCTTTTGGTCACTGCCTCTCTCAAGGTCTGCTTAGACTTCGGACCCAATGTCTTTATCAACCTAATTGGAATACCATCTGGACCTGTTAATGTACTACTAGGAACACTCTTCTCAGCCCTTTCCCACTCTCGTTGTAAAAATGCATTCAGTCACTGCGCCACTTGATCCATCCTTGTATATTAAGGTGCATAGAGCACTTCTTTGTTGAAAATTTTCGGTTACCCTAGTTCATATATATTCAATAGCTTCGTCCCCTTCTAGCCTAGCATCTTGAGTTGTAGTTATAAACCTCTGCTCTAGGCACGTCTCATTTCTTAGGGAGTTAAGATGGTTACAAAATTTCGCAGCCGCCTTTCATCTTTTTAAGTGCGAATGCACTTTATAAGTGACCCCGAATCCGCCGTCCGTGGTGCGCCTTCTCCTCTCCCCTAGCAATGGCGCGAGGAGCGGAGAGGAGCGTCTGTAGCAACCAAGGAGGTTTAAAAAAACTTCTGGAGTGGAGGTCCCCTATTCACGCCTACGCAAGCGGGTGAAGCCGGGGAAACCGGTTGGCGGCCATCTTGCTCCAGGCAAGAGAGAGCGCAGACAACGTATCCAGCGCGCTTCCGTGGCGGCTTTTTCGAATGAAACGGGGCACTTAGTGTAATTAATTTCACTCGCATTTTTTTCTTCGTGTTAGATAAACAAGATCTGTACAAAGCCGTCAGTTACGATATTACACGTGAGCCGTACGCGATTACGTATTAGCGAATATGCATTACAACGGTTAGCTGCTGTAAGTGCGGATTCGCTTGCAATTCTCGAAATGAGGCTCACGGTGGAAGCAACACAGGGGTATATGAGTTTTTATTCATTCAAGGCTTTATACAATTTCCAAAAGCACATACAATAAAACAGAAACAATTCACACGAAAACGGCCTGATTCCCAAAACGCGGGTTATATCAGGCAACTCTATAACAACACACTAAAATTGCAAAAAATATAGAATATACCAGCTGCTCCGCTTTGTTCAACGCTGGTTCTGATCTGTACCTTACAGATTTTTAAATATAATAGTCCTTGTCAGCAGGGTTCGTACCCCACTGCGCGAGTTCTTGCGGTTGATTCCTTTGGAAATGTGGTGAAGCCTGATTGTTATATACAGGTTGGCAATCTTTTTGGCCAAAACGTAGATGTGATTGTCGAGTGGATCGCAGTCCAACAGATGAGGCTCTAACTCAGAAAATAATGCTTGTTCAAACACCTCCGTTAACACCTCTACCATGAGGCGATCACTGTTTGCATGCAACGATTTTAGGTCCTTACATTGAACCTGTAGGGCACGAAGCCCTTTCTCCACAGTGTGGCAGATCTTCAAGACGTCTTTCGATGGCGCCACCAGACCACGTTTGTTTTCACAGCTGTTAGTGGTGGCAGCTCACTAGAGAGCAGTGCAGAGCAGCATGTTATAGCCGCCCTTTCCTCTTACGCAACCAAAAAAGTTCGAGGCGGCACCATCAAATGTTAATGATGCTACTTCAACATCTATTGACGAGAGTCTCGACAGACATTCTTGTGTTAGTGCAGCTCTTTCAGATACAGAAAGAGACTCGATGAAGAAATACCCCAGAGGTATTTTTAGTCGCATATTCATGCCGACCAGCATAAAAACGCAGACATTTGTCGCTTCGGGCAGGCTATCATCGGAGATACCTGTTCCAAGATTGATGTAGCCTACCACTTTCTTCCCAACAAGCTGAACATACTTTTTGATGGCCATGTCATCCATCATGAGTGCTGCGATCAGGGGCTTGTCCTGGCTTTTGGCTAAATTTTTAATAAAATCAAAAGCCTCAGAGATAAAACCCGGATCGCCATTTACAGATTTGTACCACTCACGCAACGTACGTTGCGAAGGCAAAGCGTTGTTAAATTTCGACCGCACATACTCATACGCTGCCGCAGAGTAGTAGTGCAGAGTGAGCGCGAATGCACGTAGCTCTGGGGGGTACATCTTGTTTGTTTTTTCATGGGCTCGGACAAGAAGCTGTTGAATTTCAGGCGAGAAAGTTGCTTCAAAGACCTCAAGGCCTTTTTCTGACAAAAGTTTCCTCTCTTTTAGCTCCTTGATCAAATTTTCTGACGCATCACACCGTTTGCTCAGCCTTCTTTTGGATTGCTGCAGTGTCTTAACTTTCTTCTTTAGTTGGAGAACCTCTTGTGCAGACTCCTCTGCCTTGGAACGGTACCAATCCTTCGCCGGCGAAGAAGGCTCAGATGGCATTTCAACCGCTGCCTCAGCACTGACGACAGGTGACAGCGCAGTCCGACACTTAGGGGCCTCTCGCTTTCTTTTCGCCTGCAAGAAAAAAAATCAGGTATGCTCCAAAGTTCAGAAGCCGGGTATAATGGTCCCACCCACTGCTTAGACTGACTAGAAACGGGATTACTACCTCGGGGATCTTTTTATAGTTTCGGTGCGGAAGTTTAGCGTGCCCGCATTTATGCACGCACAGTGAAAAAAAAAAAGTTGGACAAGTAAGTGTACGTGACGTGCGCTTTGTCAGAGAGTGGTGTGATTTTGAACAGCACGTAGGAAACGAGAAACTGTGCCTACACATTCGGAAATCTATAGCCTATTTACCGTAACGAAAATGTACATTCGTGATGGTACTCACTGGTTTCTGGAGATGCGCAGGGAACGCAGGAAAAATGGTAGGAATGCTCCCTGGTCGCAGTCTGGTCGTTTGGCCCGTCCTGTCAAAGCAGTTGGCTTCAAAGTGCTCCGAGCAGAGAACGTCCGCATTCTTAGGCTCCCAGCCATCCCTCCGAACAGCACGCTGCCATGCGTCACGCAGCGTCTTGTCTTTCGGAAACCTGCGGTACCACACGCACAAAATAGGTTATTCAACTCCTACTCGCCAGCTGAAAAATGCTAATAAAAGTAAGTTTTCAGCTGAAACCGCGCTTCTCGAATGAGGTAGCGCGCCGAAGGAGACAAGCGATTGAAAGCGCTTTTTCCCGCGTACTTACACGTGAAAAGTGATTCCTGGCTTCTGCTTCGCACGATTAGTGCAGCCGAAGGCGACACACGAGCTCACCATAACGTCCGGAATCGTGTCAACTTCCTTTAGAACTGCACAAAATCCGCACAGAACAAAAGAACAAGGGACAAACGCGACAACTGTTGTTCAGTGGCGCGAACGGCGGGGGCCCAAACGACCAACGGCACGTTTTTTGCCTGGAGCAACATGGCGGCCGTCGGCGTCACCAGAGGGCAGGCGCTTCCACTCCAGAAGTTTTTTTTAAACCTCCTTGGTAGCAACGGAGCAGCGACGTCGCACACCACGTGATTGCGCGCGCTCCGCCCTCCGCTCTGTGGCTGCGCGCGCCCATGCAGCCACGACTTGCTGGAGATTGGCAAGTCGTCATAGGTATGAATCCATCGCAGGCATCAACCTCGACTGCGATACCTCCAACATATAGTACAACGCAATCGAATGCGAGCATTGCATGCTTCGTTGAAGATGTCGCGCCGGTTGAAGTCAAGGCAGTGCGGCGAAGGGCCCGTGATGCCAGCGCAAGCGGGCGAAGCGGGCCGCGGACATGAACATCAATATAGTGCGAATTTACTCGCACATATACGCGTAAACTCACCAAGATTACCCGAGAGGGTCTAATGGTTCCTGGGAACCGCAATGTGATCACTCGGGGGTGTTTACGTTAACTCACTGGCGAATGCCAACGGATTTTACTTTAAGCCACCTCAAAGCATCACCTTCGCACTTAACCATGCTCACCCTCGGGGAAATGCTTGGGAGTTTTTTATGTACTTCTGCCAGCCACTGAGCCCCCTTTCTTCTAATCTTTTAATTGGTCAGAAGGGATGCTTCCCTTCTACAGCTTAGAAAGATGTCCCATTTTATTTCAACATTATCTGTTAGTTCACCTCGCTGCTTAGCATTTCTGTGTTCCCTAGAGGTTTCCTGACGTTTTGCTATGGCTCTCAACTTCCTGATGCCACCAACTCTTTGGTTTGTGTCTCCTTTTCCGGGGTGACTTGTCGCGTGCCTTAGCAAGCTCCAGCTGAAATAGTCTAATTAGTTTCGTGTATGTCCACACTATTTTATTATCCTCAGTGATTACTTTCGCAATTTGTTTAGTAGCTATTTCTATTTGCTTTTCTGAATAAAAAATTTCCTGTGGTTGCTCATCTTGCCTCCTTCTCATTTTCACTGCTCTTCCAAAACTTAGCTTGATACGTTTGTGATCACTACCCAGACTTCTGGAGCCACATTCATCTATGTGCATTCCCCTGAGCCTATCCTACATCCGGCCCGGCGTGAAGTAGCCCGCCGGGCGGTCGCTCGACTTTTTCGGTGACGTCACCTCCCCACGTGTCTATCTTTTCCGTGCTCCGCCCCTGCGTGCGCACGTGACGAGGGGAGGGTGGCGGGGTGGGGGCGCTCCTTCGGTCAAAGTTTGCTTGCTTATGGCGCAGTTGTTTAAGCGAACCTCCCGAAAAAAAAAAGTCCTGTAGACAAGTTGTAAAAGGTCGCGGATACCGAATTCACAATACATTCGCGATTTCAAAACCTTTTCAGTGTTTAAACATACAATACAAAAACACAACCTTTAAAAATAAAAAAAAGAACTGGCATGTTATCACCTTCCAGCGTGTCCTGTTTTTTTTTTTTTCGACACAATTCGTTATGCCTGCAGTCTGTTTGCGTGACATCACGAGGAAAAAATAAGCTCTCGATTAATATGTGTACGAGGGATAACTCTGCGATACAGTTGCGCGTCCGTTCTGCCTTGTCTCACATGACTATCGTGCGTATCAACTGATTTCACTTCGTTTTAAGAGTTTTAGACAGCGCAAAAGGAGATAACAGCACGCAGCCGAAAAGCGCGAAATCCCTATAATCTCACCTCCTGCAGTGCTGACATCTTCAAGTGTTTTATGAAGAAGTGGCGAGAAGATAGGAAAGGCACTGAAGGCGAGCAAGAAGCCACTCTCTCAACTTTGAACTCTGAGTGGCTTAGGGGCCCTTTAATGTGCACCAAAATGCAAGCACACGTGACTCTAGAATTTCGACTCCATTGAAATGCGACCGCCGACACCGAGATTTGATCCCGCAGCCTTCGAGTCAGCAGCCGAGCACCACAACCACTAGGCCACCGCAACTGATAGTCCGCCATGACAGTGTAGTTAACTGAGGGAACAATAGAGGCGGCTATTTGTCCAAGAAGAATGTGAAACAAATGTTACGGCTGCCACACGTCGTTCCGTGCCACGAGCGGGGAGTAGGACACTTTTTGACGCTGTAGGCTTCAATTCTCTCGGAAGCAATAATGGCTGAACAATCAGCAATGAACGTTTGCGTTATAGACAGAAAAAAAAAGATGTTAGGTAACTATAGGCATGAATGTATAACATTAAATGAAGAAAATGACAAAGAGTGATAGGTGTAATTTTGCGCTGCGCTAGATTTTGCGAAAAAAAAAAAAAAACCGTATTCACCGTAAGGTGGCAGGTTCAGGAACGTCGACAGCTGGGCAAGTTTGATTGATATGTGGGGTTTAACGTCCCAAAACCACCACATGATTATGAGAGACACCGTAGTGGAGGGCCCCCTAAATTCCGACAGCCTGGGCTTCTTTAACGTGCACCCAGATTTGAGCAAACGGGCCTACAGCACTTTCGCCTCCATCGGCAATGCAGCCACCGCAGCCGGGATTCGATCCCGTGACTTGAGTGTTAGCAACCTAGTACCTCAGCCACTACCACCGTGGCGGGGCGTGACAAGTTTGTGACTAACCATCATAACGCGACTGGACTAGATCATGATGATTATCATCACGCGGGCGTACACATTTCCCCACCTCTCTCCTCTTACCCATCACGCACAAACGTGAACGCGTTCATCGTCGCACAATGAACGAACGGACGAAAGGTGCAGTGTGCGTGCATGACTACGAGCACCCATATCAGGTCGTCTGAGTGTAAGAAAGCGACGATTGTTTATGATTGTTGGAAAAAAATCTTGCTGGTGACACATATACACACGTATGCGCAGATGCGCATAGTTAAGTACAAAGCAATGCACAAAGACCCAACTTTTTCTGCTTGTGCAAATGTGAATAGACAGTGTTCTTACCGACGTTCGTGCCAGTATAAGTCAACCGCGAAATCAGTGAAAGTATTCACCATATATGAAAAGCACAGCCTAAAAAAAAGGAAATAAAAATCTCACCATGGATACTACCCTTATTTTTTTAAAATATGGCTTTGCGTGTGACAGAGTGAAAGAGTCGTAATATCCTCTTACTTGCGCATTGTATACATGTTTCACATCTTTCCTTCCGTTCGCGCTAAAATGCGTTATGTGGAGTATGTAGATGTTTGTGTCTCGTACGTTTTCGTTTTCAGGGCGCTGCTACTTATTAGCCATTGACATTATTGTAGTTCGGCTTTACAATATTATATGCCATGGAAGTTACATGACGCGTTGATATCATCTATTATGACGGAACAAATGGTGCTAGAGACTATCGCAAGGCTATGAACTATCAACCACTGGTTTTCTTGTTGTGTAAGAAGACATGGCACCAACGCAGAGATAGAATGGAAATCATCACCTGACAAGCATCGGTAGACCAAGCTGTCACGTTTTAAAGTAATAAGTGACCTCATAGCCAATCAGGGAAAGGGGTGGTATATTAGACTGGCCGCTTCGGCAACGAATGAGCGAAATTCGTCATTCTCCTGATGTCGTCTAGACGATTAGTTTCAAAATTCGTGAGAATCCGTGAATATGGTATACCTATACGAATTATTGTTGTTAGGACATGTTCAGTACAGTGGTTGATAGATTTGTCAGCTCTGATATGGGTGGGAGTGGAGGTGAACAATCAGAATGGCAACGGTATACACGTCACGTGTGCCCGTTTGTTTGAGACCAACGCACCAGTGAGACCCACACTTGAAGCTCAGGAACCTTCATTCCGAGTACTACAAGATTTATTTTGGTGGTTGTTCACGCGATAACGTTAACGAGCTCGTTTCGCAGAAATCACAGTGTCGGCGTCGTTGGCTGTGATAGAAAAAGCAGCAATGTCCGTGAGCAAAAAGTCGCCAACCACGGTAGTCTATAGTAAGGTTCCCCTTCAGGGGTGGGGGGCGAAGGTTTTTCACAGCCCCCGCTCTCTTCCCCCGCACGTTTAAGTCAATGTATGGGGCAGACTTCGCGCCCCCCGCCTCAACTTTACTAGACTATAGTAACGTTGATACGCCTCTTTTAGGTGACAAGGGGCATGGCCGGTCTAGAGGCTAAAACTAACGCTGACGTCGTTACAGTGAAATCATCTCGTTTAAACCTTCACTAATATTCTGGTTGCAAAGCGATCGCATTTTCATTTTAAAGGGGCTTATGTTATTTTCGCACAGAAAAAAAGTGAGAAAGCTCTCAAATTCTTCATAACTTCCTTTTCAAAGCGAAATCCAAAATCTAGATGGGAGCCGAAATCCAAAATCTAGACGGTGAATGACGGTGACGCCGTCGGTGAAATTACAGCGGAGAGTGTACATATACTTGCTATCGTAAAAATAATAATATTTTGAACGATGGTAACGTCATGACGATTTTGTATGTAGCACATACACTGTACCCAAAGAAAAGTTTCTGCGTTGATGTTTAATTGTAAGGAGTGAAATAAAAATAAATATTGACTATTTTGAAAGTTTACTCGCATTTTGCCCCCCTATACTTTTCAGCTCTCAGTTCCAGTAATAATAATATCTGGGGTTTTACGACCCAAAACCACGATATGATTATGAGAGACGCCGTAGTGGAGGGCTCCGGAAATTTTGACTATCCAGTATTCATAATCGTGCACTGACATCGCACAATACACAACCTCTACCATTTCGTCTTTATCGGATAGCGACCACCATGGCCGGAATCGAACCTGCGAGCTTTCGGTTCAGAAAAAAAAATAGCATATCAAAGCAAGCCTGATCTAATGATTGATGTGGGATTGAAAAGTCGCATCATGTGCCCCTCTTTACAAGAAAAAAACGCAAGAATTTTCCGAAAATGCCTTTCATTCAATGCTCACAAGTCCGGTTCTCATACAGCAACTCAAGGGTATCCAGAT